GGTATACCGTGTGCAGCTTTAACCTACTTTACAACAAGTTTTTCAAGCTTGAAGCCCGGTTTTCCGTTGATCTTAGCAAAAATCGGGTAGTTCTAAAAAAGGGGTTCCCAGTTCTTTCCCCGTCAATAACTCGTTTAAAAAAGAGAGAAGGCTCGTCAAAACCCACAAAATCCCGTAAGCAAAACCAACACTGTGTTTTTCTAGATTTCCTAGTTTTTTGTCCAGCTTTCAAAAAAGGAGGTTTGGGTTGTACAGGGTAGGGTTTATAGGGCCTAAACCCAAACCCTAAAGAACTCAACCACAAACCCAAAGCTCGAAGAACAACTCAACTCAGATTTTGGGTTTAGGGTTTAGGGAGGTTTAGGGTTTATAGAGGCTTAGGGCTTCTCGAAGTCGCAACTCCCGTGGGCCAAGAGTTTGGGACCAAAGGTTCAGGTTGTAACACAAATAGCGTCCGCGTATCTATGTAGCACATACTTCGGGCCCAAAATGGTAACTATTTACCATGGGCTGCTCAAGAGCCAACCTATGCGAGTATGTGAACCCTTACATTAAGCATCCGGCTTAGGTCCTACTAATTGGTGGTTCGTAAGGAAGAAAGGAATAGACTACACAGGGATTACATAGGGATCATATGCCCTTACTGATCATCAGTATGTCTAGGGTTCAGAGATTGAGTGTTTGAGTGTGTGTGGTGATGCTGCTGACTGGTTACTGCTTCAAACACTTCATAAGATTGGCTTGGGGATCTTTGGGGGAGAGACCCGCGCCTTAAAACCTGAAGTTATTCCCTTTCAGAAAGCTGATCTTGCACGTAACCTTATACACGCTAAACCTTTCGCCGCTGTCGCTCACAGTAGCAGCTACCACGAAAAGAAATATGGGTGGTTGCCAAAATTCTGGTCCTGTTTTGGTGTCCCTATTATAATACGGCACATAATATTTAGGGCACCCAAAAAAGGACCATAATTTTGACAACCACCCAAATATGAGTTTCAATAGCTCCTGAACAAAGCCTTTATATGAACATTTAATTGGAGGGGGAAGGGCCACGCCTAAACTTTGGACGTGGGGTGACACCGTTTTGCTTATGGCTTGTGTTCGTTCTGCTGTTGCCAAAACTAATTCCATTGCAACACCCAGGCACCCAAGTATTGAATGCTATCATGTTTACATCTTGATATCATAGCGGGGAGGAATTACCATGAAGGGGACATGGGTTACAGGCGAGAAGGGGGCATTAGACTCAGACCCGATCATTGACATTTCGGATTCAAGGTTGTCTGACGGTCTCTGTGGACCGCAAAAAGGCCCTGAGCATAGCTCCAGGCGTTGCACAGCAGTTCAGCTATCCTGACCTCAACCATCAAGAAACGAAAGCCAAGATTCCTCGTGGGAAAGACGGGCTTAGCTAGGAGCTAGAGTATAGGGGACTACTACAGGGGTCATGAAGGGGGGATACTAGGAGTGTAGATTAGATAGAAGGACAAACGTTGGTCTGATTGGGTTGTATAGGGGAGCTCTGGATTTACGCAGAGTTTGGGGTTTGGATAATAGACGGCTTGCAAGACTAATCTACAGGGCTTCTTGCCGGAGTAGTGATGTAAGCCTTGCAATTTAAGGTTAAGCCGACGTGTGTATGTCAGCCAAAACAGCCCTGGATAAAAAAAAAGCCTACCGAAACGTTTTAAAAGCGAGGAGTTTTGGCTACGGCCTGCACCGCATGCGACAGTGCTGAATAACCTTCGAACAGCGCTTGGGCCAACGTCCCAAGCTGCGAAAGATGCCAGGTCAAAGGAGTTCCGGATTTAGTTAAATCTTGGGTTTAGGGTTTATATAGGGGATATAGGGGGATATCTAGGGTTATACTGTAGGGATACCCAGGATTATGTAGGGGTTAGGGTTGAGGGTTTCATGAAATTAGTGGTACCTTTTTTGGGGGTCCTCATAATAAGGATTATCATATCTTGGGATCTATGTTGGGTCCCCCTGTTTAGGGAAACTGCCGAATCTAGGATCTAGTTAAATCTTGAGCCCCACGGGGTGAGGGTTTAAAGCTTGAAGAACTATAGGAATTACCCTAAACCCAAAACCCACACATACAAGTTCAGGCTTTCTCCGGGGGGTCTAGGCGCCCTTCTGAGTATGTGTATACATGAGCTATAGTCTAAACTCCTTAAAGGGGGCTATATAGAGGATTATATAGGGGACAAATAGCAGATATTGAGGGGGATACAAGGAGTTTAGCCTATAGCTCACATGTATATGTACCTACTATGAGCTACTGTCAATGCTAGCGTTATTAGGTGTGTGTGTGTGTATGATGTGCAGACATCCGTAGCTACACCTGACATCTCCAGACAGACTCGATCACTAAACCCTGATCTGAACCATGTGAAAAAGGCCTTTTTTCGTTCGAAGGGAGTTCGGTGCTGCTCACTTGAATCGTGGTAGCTTCTCGAACTCCAGGGGGGGGTGCATCCCAGAAGCCCGGAAGGCGTTTCATTCTGGGAGCTTTGCCCCAAACCCTCTGCGTAGAGGTTTTGGGTCCGGCGAAAAATGTCAGATGTACTTGCGCACAAAGTTTGACTCCAAGCCCCCTGCAAGTTTCATGCTGGTCTATTTCCCTGCGGCTGGAAATTCTTCAATGACCGCCTTTTCTGAGAAACCTTCAGTTTTGCCTTTTCCTTTGCCTGCTCCACGACGTGACCATTGTCGTGGAGTGTTTAAATGGCAGGGTCTTGTGCACAGTCAATGAGCGACTGTCGTGTCTATTCAGCCTGCTCCCGGGCTTGGAATTCGTCTGGATTGTGCTTCAGGGCCTTTTGTCTTTTCCCTTCTTCTTATGGAGGCTCTGGCTCATCGTTTACAGAGGGTCTACAGCACAAACCGGTTATGCGCGGACTTGCAAAGTCTTTGGAGGGCCTGCACGGAACACTGCGTGCTGCACAGAGGCGAAAACATCAAGAGAACGCGAGGCAGCACATGCTTACGATGCAGGGTTCTGGGATGCACTTATACAGACAGGGACTTGGCCAACTACTCAAGAATGCACTGAGATACTAGCAGTTCCATCTAAGAGGTACAAGTGTGGGGCACCCTAAACCCGAATGTGGACGAAGCCTGAAGAATTACCAATATTATGGTCCTGAAACATGTAAGTCTAGTAAAGGGTACCTTGAATAAAGTTAAGAGGGGGAAGGGTTTAGGCCCCTGCCGTACACTCCTTGCGTAACAACCCAGTGTCATTTCATTGCCCATTTTATTCTGCGCCCTAAGGCCAAGACCTTGACCCGAGTTCGTTTAGGGTTTAGGGCTTCAACTTGACTATCCCAAAGGGTCCTAAGTACCCATATGGGGAATCCTTACCCAAACCATAAGGGAAATTACTACTAAGAAAACCATACTTTGTACCATAAAGGTACTTTGGACCCTTTGGGTATAGGAGTGCAAGTCTAGGGTTTGGGTTTAGGTTGTAGGGCTGGCCAAATGCGCTTGAGTTTGTCAGAGCTCTTATGCGGGAGTGACATGAACATAGCCGCCTCCGAACAGCCCCACACATGTACCCCGACATAGTAATGGTCATCCATGTATACCTTTAGGACCTTGAGCGGCGACAGGATACGCATGTTTGGAGAAACTCGGAGTAAACTCAAAAAAGGCATTAGAGTTTATGCTTCTCAGGGTTTAGGTGAATTGCAAACATATGGAGCATCTTTGTCCTAGTTGACTGCGCTAGCACTACAGGCACTCCTTGTATTTCCGGGCCTCCTTACTGAAACTGAACATTGGGAAGAAAGGGCACCTTTATTATTATAGGGTGTCTGGGGAACCTACCCTAAACCCCAAACCCCAAACTACCCTAAACCCTGTTATTATGGGGGGGTTACTGGGGAACCTTTCGCAACTTGCTTTTTGGCTTTCGCTTTTTCCCAGCAAGCGGCCGAGTTATTGTTCGCTAGTGTTCCTTTGGCAGACGGACGTCTCACAGGGTTTAGGCTTATTAGGGTTTAGGGTCTGGGGTTTAGGAATTAGGGTTTAGGATTTCTGGTTTCAAGCAACAAACATGCGAGATTTTTTTCACTACAACCGCAAGTCCACAGAGCAGAGAAGCGTAGTCTGAACGCCACCCATACTGCGCTGCCCTCGCCCACCGTCCTAACTCTCAAACCTAAATCCTCAACCCCAAAGTCAACCCCAAATTCAACCCGAAATCCCCAACCCTAAACCCCCATCCCTAAATCCTAAACCCTACACCCTAAATCCTAAACCCTCAACCCTACACCCCAAACCCTAAACCCTTAAATCTGAGACTCTTCAGACTCTTGAGCCTAAACCTAGGTTTTTCTGTCGACTTTAACTGCTAGATCGTGTATTTTTTCGGCCCAACAGTGAATTGTACTGACGTTTGTAAAGGTTCAAGATTTAAAAGTTTAGGGTTTAGGATTTAGGGTTTAGGGTCGAGGGTTCAGGGTATGTGGTAGATCCGCAGAAAGGGGCCCGAATCCCCATAATCCCTTGAGCATACATACTTTAGCATTCCTGACTGCTGCAAGTTAGAACTGACTTAGTACGGGGACCTCGATGATAACCAATATCATGATCGCAGTTTTCTTGTAGCATTTTGGTATACGATGCCCCACAGACCTCAACAGCAGCTAGGCTCACGCTGCATAAACCCACCTTCCGTTCTATTTGTTCTGTTTTCTTTCATTTGGTTCTCCGTTTGTTGGAGTAATATCCCTAGAACACATGCAAGCTAAACTCTAGACCCTACACCCCCTATACAAACCTTGTATTGTTGGCATCAATTTAGGCCCCTACGGTATGTTAAGATTTAGGCATGCATCTGTGGACAAGCCTCACAGTGGATTTAGGGTTAAGTGTTTGGGGTCTAGAGTTTGGGGTTTAGGGTTTAGGATTTGGGGCTTAGGATTTTGCGTTTTGAGTTTGGGGTGTTGGCCCTAAACCCTAAACCGTTTCGGGCTATTGGCACAGCCATGGACGTGTTTTTGACGCGCCACGGGGCGCGCATCGACAAAGAAGACAGGCAGGGCTGGAGAGTAATGGAACTGATTGTTTAGGGTTTAGGGTTAAGGGTCCCCCCTCCCCCCTCCCAATATCTCAATGATATCTTGGGTATTGGTTGTTCCTGGTGGTGGCGGTGAGAACCTGCTATTTGCGTACTAGCAGGCGCAATTAATAAGTGTTCGAAAGTCTCATAGCCAGAGCAGTTGTAAATATTCGCTACGCCTTGATCATTTTACGAACGCTGTATGACTTTTGAATTTGTTTTTGTGTTAGCCGGGAATTACATTCTGAGCATGTTGTTGACTGTAGCCCGCTGCTATCATCAGGAGCAAATTGGGCTCAACAGATACTTGTTCTGATTAAGATTCCGATGACTGCTATTACTGTACTACAGCTGATGTCGATTGGTGTTCGGCTCATGCTTTGTACGTTGTAGTCGAGTGTCCATGTCGCCATTTGCTCTACACACGCGTCAACGCCTCAACAGAGTTGTGCCTGTGTGAGTTCCCAGAACCTTGGAATATTAGGAACCCATGCTGTTGTGGCTGCTAGGCTGCTAGACTTTAGCTACGTATGAGGGCTAGGTCTTGTAGACGCCTCCAGGAATGTTGACTAGTTAACAGGATTTTGTTCAAAATTCTGTTGCTCCATGTGTTAGAACAACCCTCCTGTATTATGTATGCATCCCCTTTGTTTGGGAGCTTCAGGGTCAAAGGTTGAAGTTGATGATGTGTCTCCCTGGTACTTTGTAGGGTTTGCGGACGCGCGGCCAAGGCTGTACATTTGGTAGCCTTCTGAGCACCTCAACATTGTGAGTGACCTATCTATTAGGTCCAAGCTTCCCTATAGTAGTGTCTCCTTAATATGGAGTGAATAGGGCCTTAAGAGACCTGCAAAAGTCCCTTGTGGTACTCATTACTGGGTGGTGATTGACCCAACCTATCTAGACAACCCTAAACCCTAATCCCCTTAAGCCCTAAACCCTAAACCCTAATCCCCCAAACCCTAATTCCCCTAAACCCTAAACCTTCTGGAGCACGTGGATCCTGAGAAGTAGACTGGAACGATGCAGAACGAAAAAATGACCAGCTGCTTCATTATAGGGCTGTGCTATGACCCTGCACTTTAACCAAGAAGGGTTTGGATTATATAGGGATTTTGGGGTTTGGGGTTTAGGGATTTAGGGTTTAAGGGTTTAGGCTTTAGGGCTATGACCCCAATAATAGAGAATCACATGGAACATGAAATGGAAACTGGGTATCTATGGTAGTTTCTCAATCAAGGGGACCTCAATATAGACCCAAGAAAGGGCTACGCGGGACTCTCCGGGTAAAAGCTTGAAAGGAACTGGCTGGCAAGGGCGGGCCACAAACGTTGCTCGGCTGATTTTTGCCGGAGGGCTCCGGGTAGTATTTCGGGTGTAGAGGTGTCGGGCTTAAGGGCTCCCCACCATGGTAAGCAAGCAGTGTTCATTGAACTTTTGCAACCTCAGAAAACGTACCATTGTGCTGTCACATTGTTTTCGCGGGCTCATAATTTTGGGGTGAGAGGCCTCTGATTGCATCAAGCTTGGCGGGCTTCAGGAAGCTACCTGGATCGCAAAACCATGAGGGGTTCACGGTTAGGGGTTTTGGAGTCTAGGGCTTAGGGTTTTGGGTGCAGGGCTTAGGGTTTATAGGGTTTAGGCCTGGAGCGGGTTCTTGCCTTTGCAGGTTGGAGCTAAGCCCTACAATGCGATGTGCACAAATTTCACATTCGTTCGAGCCGTACCTCATCCCCCGCATGTAGCCTTGGTGTGTTGCCCCTTGGCCTGGCCTGGCCCTATACACCTGTGAGCGAAGTTGGGATGACCCTACAGGCCCTAGATTCTGAGACCTAAATTCATAGACTAAGATGCCCACCCAGGGTACATTCCTGCATACCCCACCCCTAAACCCTAAACCCCTAAGCCCTTAAACCCTAAACCCCTAAGCCCTAAACCCTAAACCCCTAAGCCCCAAACCCTTTAGCCCTAAACCTTAAAGCACCCCCCAGGCTCGGATGACCCACACCTATCAGCCGCCGGCAACGTCGGCGCAGCGGAGCTCGCGGCAAAGCAGCTCGTTGCGGGGAGATCAAGCGAGTGATTAAGGGGGGATTAGGGTTTAGGGTTCAGGGTTTAGTCTAAGGTTAAAAGTATGGGCCCCTATGGCTCCCAATTGAGGTACAGCTTCTCGTACTTTGGGCCATACAGGGGACACCCCTGCTTTGCTGGGAGCCACGCCAGGTTTTCTTCAAGTTCAAAGTTACCAAAGAGCTTTGCGCAGTATTCACGTTTAGTTTCTGGGCTAAGCCCTACGCCCTACATGAGCTGTTGTCAAACCTCTAAAGTCCTTAATGGGAGGCTATATAGGGGGATATATAGAGGGAGTATTATAAGGGTTATTAGGGGCGACGCTAGGAGTTTAGACCATACTGTTGATACTAAAAATCCAGCATGACCTTACCATGCTATAGTACTGTAATTCCCAAGGTATAAGGTACTTAGGAGGATCATGCAGGATTTTTAGTATCCACCGTAGCTCGCATGGGCGCTGCAAACTATGAAGCTGTAAGTAGATGGAGGCATAGGTTGGGGCTTAATTTATGGTCTAATGGTTTCTGGCTGACGTTTGTGGAACCCTAAACACTAAGCCCGAGACCAGGGTGTGTGGCATGAGTTGCTGACTTGGAAGGTCTAGTAAATTCATTTTCAAAATGATTAGAAGGGACATGGTAACCCCAGTTATCCCTATTATTATCCTAATCACCAAGTCCCCCCAAACCCTTTTCCCTAAACCGTAAGTCATACAGTGGTTTCCATATTTTCTTTTCCGTGGTTACTACGTCCCCCCATAAGACATTCCAAGTCCAGAAGCCCAAAACCCTAAACCCCTAACCCTGAACCCTTAACCCCTAAACCCCTAACCCTAAACCTCTACACCCCTAAACCCCTAAACCCCTAACCGCTAACCCTAAACCCCCAAACCATAAGCCTTAATAATTGGTCAACAGCAAATAGGCCTGCATCTGCCGTTCCCAGGATCACAGTCGGCTCCTGCAGTTTATGTAGAAGCCTATTTCTAGCAGGGAATGAGGGAATATTTTCCCTATATAAACCCTATGTAGCATGTATCCCTTGTTCCCTACTTACGGGATAATATAAACCCTATGTAATGTAACCCCTTGTTCCCTACTTACTACTACTAAGGTACTTCTACACTACCTTCCTGGTTTAGGGTTTAGTGTTGTGATCTGAGGCTCCAGAGTATTCACGCTGCGACGTAGCTCGGACGGCACGAGCCACTTACTGCTCTGGCTGCCCGAAACCCTAAACCTTAAGCCCAGAGCTCTAAGCCCTCTAAACCCTAAACCCTAGGGTATGAGGTTTGGGGCCGATCTGGACACGTGTATCATGGATTCCCCCATTACGACCCCTAGGCTAACCCCCCCGGATCCCTCATAAGTAATTCAAGCTCTTGGGATGGATGGTATAGGAGTAATGGTTAGGTAACTCGGTTTAGGGTTTGGGGTGATTTTAGTATTGCCCCCAGCCCGTAACCGCCTACAACAGGGGTATTGCTAAGGGCCCAGGCCTATATATAATCATACCAGAAGTAGTATCCAATTGCTACTAAGTGGCGGCAGCACCCCACTCATGACTTGAGTAACTTTTGTTCTCCACTTGGGCTATGATATCCTTTCTTATTGGTTGAGGATCAGCGCTGCGTAGGGTGACAGCATGCACAGGCCAAATCAATGCAGAAGCCCTAGAACCCTCAAGCCCTAAAACCTAAACCCTGAAACCCTAAGCCGAAACCCTAAGCAGCATTTGTCAGGCATGCCTTGTTCTAGGCTGCCTCTAAGGACCCCCCTTTACATATCCGAGGGCTTGGTGTTTAGGGTACATACGGGTTTAGGGTTTAGGGTTAGCCCAAGTACCATAATCCGCATCAGTGTGTATGAATGAGTCTATGAGGGACTGCAGGTCAGCCTGCTTATAGGGGCCTACATGACTACCTATATCGTGCTGCTAGACTCCTACTATAAGCATGTTATAGGTTGCCTCAAACGCACCTCAGACTTATCTAGGCAATTACTATTTTGGCCACGGTATGAATTCTCTCTTGGCAATCTGGGGCAAACAGTGTCCTGAGCCGAAACCGTTGTAAGAAGCATACGACGCCTCACTTGCTCTTGTCAGAAGGCGTCCATGTTCTCCTAAACCCTGAACCACATCCCGTTAGGCTGCAGTTCCCCCAACAAAGGTGGTATTTTGGGCGGGTTCCAGAGTTTGGGTGAGTGTAACTTGGGGTTCGGCCCCCACCCAGGAAGAGTGCTGGTGTAGTAGGAGTTTGATTTTGCCATACTTTGCCATTTCCCTTTGGCCACTACAAGCGGGTGCTAGCCTAAGTTGAAATGTAAGTCTGTTGGGTGCTGCAGCCTGCAGCATCCCATCCCTAGAAGCCCAGTTACCTATATATTGGGTTCCTGTCCTTAAGTCCCTATATAAATTTGTACTATCTACAACCCAAGGACCTACTGTATGGGTACCTGGGCTTCTAGGGCATGTTTGACGATTGATCTCCCAGGCCGATTTCACACATCGTCTCCTCGCCATTCGTGCGACGGACTCAGTCTCACATGGTTTTTACCGGACCTAAACTCTAAACCGTTTCAGAGTTACACATACATACACACATACATACATACATACATACCATACCATACCATACCATACCATACCATACCATACCATACCATACCATACATTACATTACACTACACTACACTACATGACATTACGTTACATTACATTACATTACGTTACGTTACATTACATTACATTACATTACATACATACATACATACATACATACATACATACATATATAGATAGATATAAACATTTGCACATAGGGTCCCCCCATAACCCTCAACCTTAAACCCTATATATAGACAGACACAATTATATACACATAGGATCCCCCCCATAGGAGCCTTCGCAAGCCCAACCCCCCTATCAGGAAGTATTGGGGGTCCACATTAAGCTATGAGGGTTTGGCGTGCAGGGTTTAGGGCCAGGGGCCTATTGGGAAGTTTTGGGTTTGGGGGTACTCCTCCTTGAAGAATGACCCTATGTCAGCCGTATGAGATGTCTCTTCTCAAAGGGAAAGCTACAGAAGCATCGAAGCTTATCTCTGTTGGTTTTCTATAGCATGATACCCTCCATTTTCAGGAGCTGAACACCGAGACTTCAACAGCAAGATATACCAATACCTCATGCATGCAACAGCTAGAGTTTTCAGATCTTCGAAGCATTGAGGCACATGATAGCCTACGGGGGGCAGGGCGGTTTAGGGAAGCCCTAAACCCTAAACCCTTTGAATGTAGGATCTAGGTCAAGGGAGGTCCTGGGACCAGCTGTGGGCACAGTTCAGACAAAACAGCCGTAACCGCCGGCCTATTACCAAGTACTTCTCATGTTGCTACAATGCCAAATTTTTCGAAAAGGCTCCATATACCCTGAACCCTGAACCCTAACCGCAGGGAGAAGAGATTGCCTTGCAGCTTCGCGCCTGTAGGGCCATATTCTCCGCCCACAGACCCTCGTCTACCCCTAGATTGCGTGTATATTTCTATATATATATATACACCCATGCATGTGAATGTATTACACATTTACAGACCCTCAAATTCTGACTGCTAAAGCACAGTCCTCATATTACGGTGTCTGACCTCTTTGCGCTGATCGCTTTGCCTCCAACTTGCTCCAGGCGATGCATCCAAACGGCTGCACCTGTTGCAGAAGCTCTTGGCTTGCCAATAAAGGCGAAGAGAGTCCAAAGGGGATACATGGGGCTGTAAAGGTATAGGGGGGTCTATATAGATTTATTTCAGGGTGTATATATAGGGATCCCGGGTTTAGGGGAGTAATGGAGAATCAGATGGAAACATGATAGTTGCATGGAGACTGGGATGATATACTGGGTATCTCAAGGCAAGGGGAGTCCGGAACTAGCGGTTAAGGATTTAGGGTTTAGGGCTGGGAGGTTCAAGGTGATTATAATAACACAATTATACCTAGACTCCTAGACTCCTATGTTTATAAGCTTCCTAACATGTTACATTGGATTAGGAGTACCATTTATAATTGGATCATAGCCATTTAGAGCCTCTGAACAGTGTTCAGGGTCAGAGGGCCTTCCTGACACAGGTTTGGGGGCTCGGGTCTGAGTGTCGGGCTTGGGGGTCAGGGTTGGGGGTCAAGGGGTTAGGCTTCAGGAATGGGCTTGGTAGCGTGACAAGGCACAGAGAATAGTGCCTTCTGTGCTGTCGGAGAAAAGGATTTTGGAGTGTACCCTAAACCCTAAACCATCCTAAACCCAAACCCTAACGAGTGTAAGTCGGCTAAAGGAACGAGATGTTACGGACTGAGAGTTTGAGGTTCAGAGGCTTAGGATTCAAGAGTCCCCAAGCCCAGAACCTGCCCGCTTAAGAATTTTGTGTGCGCGCATTATGATGATCTCCCAGGTGGTGGTTTAGAAGGACACATTTGCTTCTTCTTGAGGTTAGACAATTCTGTGATTCAGGCAGGATCAGTATCACAAGAATAACAGATTGTCGACATTATCATCTACCGGCTCCCCCTAAAAATAGCACCTCCATCCTAACCTACTCAAGAACCGACGCGGCAAAATCTTATTATGGGCTTTATCGTAACAGTCCACGTGAGCCTCAGCAACCAACAGCTTTTGTTCAAGTTGTTTTTCAGCAACCTGGATTGTTCCCCCTCTCATTCCTGATTATTCTGCTCCCAGTTTGCTCTCTTTGCAGTAAGTAGTCTTGCCCTTGGAAAGTACTCTTCGAAGGTTTCAGGTTTTGACTCGGAGTATTTATCATGGAGGCAAAGGCTTATGTAAGGGGGACGCGACCAGCCATTTATTCACTACCAGGAGTAGGTAAACTAGTTGCCCAAAACCACTTACAACAGCCAAAAAGGGCCTTATTCTACATACTCTTGGGCGCGGTTTCGGGTTTAGGGTTTACGGCCTTCCGGGTTCCTGGACCTTCAGAATACCCATAAGAATGGCCCTATACCCATGGTTTTGGGAGTAAAGGCAGTAATTTCGGGTACTTGTCAGGCTTAGAACTAGGGATTTCTCACCTCTATGTCCCCCAAGCTTTCGTTGAATCCTGAAAAGGCTTTCTAGAGTCTGGAAACTACGGTGCTCAGAAATAGGAAGCAATTTAAGAGTGCAATTACGTTCACCTGCAAGCGCATGAGATGACGCAAGCGTCTGTTGAGTGCCGCCGAGATTAGCCGTTGGCATACAAGTGAAGCGCAAGTCGGATACTCAAATTGTACACTTGCAGAAGTCCTAAACCCTCAATGAAAAACCCGCAAATTCCAGAATCCCCAAAAGCCACATGCTCGGACCCGTTGTTTTGCTACAGGTTGAGCCAGGGATCTGCGAGATCTTGAATGCACCTGGCCTGCTTGAGGTAGATTTCACGTCAGGGGCAGAAGAGATCGTTTGCAGCGTTGTCCGTGTTGACTTTTCAGTTTTGGCATTCCCGCTATCATGGTGCATACCCTGCATTGGCTTTCAGCTTTCGTGTGAATAGAACTCCAGGCCACCCTATACCCTAGACACGATGAAGGGTTGCGCCTATGGAGTTGGTCGTCAGGTGTTGGGTGAATGATTGGAAGTATCAGCTCAGGATGGAACCCTAAACCTTAAACAAACCTAAAACCAAAATCCTAAACTCTAAGCCCTAGGACCCTAAACCCTGAACCCTAAACCCTAGGCCCTAAACCCTAAATCCTAAACCCCAAACACTAAACCCCAAACCCTAAACGTAGGCCTCCGAAGCACTCCATGTCTACCTTGGCTGGCCGACTTGCCAAGTGAGCCATTACCTGAACTCATTGAACGGGGTTATAAAGGGGGTTGATTGTATATTATGGTAGCATTAGAGGGCTTATTAAGGGGGGTACTGGGAGTTTAGTTAGACTGTGGCTCAAAACATCTCAAACCAATTGCTTTCATCAAGGAACATGCCTGAGGTTTAAGGTTTTGGGGTGTAGGGCTTGGGGTTTGGGATTTGGGGTTTGGGGCTCTCACATTTTTTAGAGATTCCTAATTGGACGTTCAAGGGTAGCTATAGCTGCATTTGGAAGCAGGATATTTATGGTCTTAGCTGTATTTCGATGAATCGCCGCACCCAGCACCGGCGATGAACCGCCAAGTAGTATTACGTAGGTTAGTTAAATCTCTTCATGGAGGGGTCTTTGGATCCTTGGGGAGCTGCAAAGGTATTTCCGCCTGGCTTTCTTGACACCTCCGAACTGCGAGAGCAGTTCCCGTGACCTGACGAGGCTTAGATTTTTGGGGCACAGGCATTGCCTTCACCTTTGAAGATCAAAGGTTGTGGCTCAAGTTCTCAGCGCCAGAAAGATGTGTCCATTCTTTTATAGCTTCAGCGTTTCATTTCGCAGTGTAGGACCCTCTAGACTTGTGGGTTCAGCAGGCTACAGGTACGGTGTAGGTTCTACAGAATTCAGGGTCCTAAGCCCTAAGCACCAAAAATAAGCCCTTAAGCGGGAAACGCACCTGCCTTGGAGCTTGGAGACCGATAGCCATGGGGCACTTTAGGGATTAGGGTTGGGCTTTAGGACTGGAACATATGCCTCAAATCCAAATGCGGTCAACAGGGTTTTCTCATAACCTGGAATTCACGCTTGACGAAGCAGGAAACTTGTTCACTTGCTTCACTGAAGTTCTGGTTGCCTCTGTTTTTCCTGTATTCCCCCCACGTAACGGCGCTTTCAAGTAATTTGTGTCGACGGTAAAATGGCAGCGGGTTAGCAACAACTGGACCCTGGATGTCTCAATTAATTTTTGGGCGTTCGCCACACAAAAAGTAGGAAGGACTCTGGTACTGCCCACTCCCTCATTAACAGCTGGATAATGATTACAATATACTTATGCAGAGCCAATCGTATGGCCCCTATTACAGGCTGTGAATGGGTGGTGGCAGGACCCAAGGACGGACATCCAATGGTCAAGGTAATTGTTTTGACCTGCTCCTTGTAAACATGCAGGTCTATGCTTGTCATCCAAGACTTACCCCTAAACCCTAAACCCTAAATTACCCTAAGGCCCGAAGGACGCATATTTCGAGGGTTTTGGCCCCAAAGACCGAAGCATAAAAAGGATTTCGGGCGATTTTTAGCATTAGGGTTACCCTATGGATCCATGTACCCAATAATTGGGTACTTGGGTTTTGAGTAATAGTAATTATAGTATAGGTTTTGGGCAAGTATATGATTATTAGGTACTTGGACCCTTAGGGTTATATAAATAATACCTACATTGG